CCGGAGCCTGTGCTCCGCAACGGGAGAGGCCACAGCAGAGAAAGGCCCGCGTACCGGAAAAAAAAAAAAAAAAAAAAAAAGGAAGAAAAGAAAAAACCAGTGACTCGAAAACAGACAGAGTTTGGCCCCATATAACTTGGATTCTATTGTTGGAGCCTCATGCGATTAAGATGAGGACAGCCCAGTCTTGCTGCTGTATATTGTGACCTTACTGCTGTGTATTGTGACAGTCTCTGCAACGGACTGAACTGTGTGTCCCCAACCCCCCCCCGCCCTGCCCCACCCCACCCCATATACGTATGTCGAAATTCTAACCTTCCAGCACGATGCTCTCAGGAGATGGGGCCTTGGGAGGTGGCCAGGTCATGAGGGTGAAGCCCCAAAATGGGATCAGTCCCTTTTAGGGACCCCAGGGAGCTCTGTCACCCACTCTCTGCCATATGAGGACACAGTTAGAAAACAGTTCTGCCACCAAGAAGGAGGGAGCTCACCAGAAGCCCCTCCATGCTGGCACCCTGATCTCAGACTTCAGCCTCCGGAACTGTGAGAAAGAAATTGCTGTTGTTTTTTAGTAGCCTTCTAGTCTGTGAAACTTGGTTAGAGCAGCTCGAAAGGACTAAGAGAGACTTATGCAGGCTACAGGGTCCACCTTGCAGAGGTGGGCAGGGGATTCTGCTCCGAGCATCTCCATCTTCCAGGAGCTGGGCTTCTGAGTGAGGAAAGGATCCTCTTCCTCAGTGGCATAGGGTGGTGCCCAATGGGCTCGCGGGTATGGCAATGAGCTACGCAGCGTCCCCACCCCCGCCATGAGGCTGCTGAAAGCCAGTCACAGGCCCGTGGATGGCCAGCAGCTGGGTCTGAGAGCACCCCTTTCCTCGTGGGGTTTCTCAAGTTTTAGAGTGATCGATGCTATGAGAACCGGATGATGAGGTTCCAGCCCACTACCTGGAGTTGCCCAGATCCCACGCTCCCGGGCATATCAGCATCGACAGAGCCCTGGGGACCAGAGGAATCGAAGGGCAAGCGATGGAGGATGTATTCCACAGCCGTGGCACTGAGGTCCCACAAGCAACGCTCTGGAATACTTAGAATAACCCTGAGTGGGCTGAGCTCCAACAAATCAGGAAAGGATGCACTGGACATACAAAGCTGTAGAATTTTACTTTGTCAGCATTAGCTGCAGATAAAGGCACGTTATTTACTCTACCTCTTTGTCTTCAGGCACTCAACTTTATGTTATGGCTGCTAGGATTTAGAATTACTTTAAGTATATGAAATAATATTCTACTATCTCTGAGGAGTTACTCTAAGAAAATAATTCAGCTACTAGAAATTGCTGGTCTCTCCTTGGCCCAGAAAAATTTCGCTTACAAACACTTCCTTTTCTTAGGGACAAAACTATTTTGTAGCCAAGGTTCTCTCTTCCACATAGCATTTTAATACAAAGCTTTAGGCTGAAGGGGATCCTGTTTTCCTTGCGTTTATGTTGATAGTCGGCTAAGCAAACAATTACTGTGTTCATCAGACTTCAGGTTGAAACAACAGATGCAGAGCTGGAAAGGAAGGGGTTTCTCTTCTGCTTCTGATATGATAATGCAACGGAGAAAATTAGTTTTCTTTAATGTAGCCCCAAACACCATCTATTGACACATTATCAAGTGAAGTCATCTCTTTTATGTTTCACTCTGAAAATTTTTTAATATTCATGTGGAAATAACAAATGCTTAGAGTTAGAAAAAAAGAAATGTAACATAAAAATTCCTCCAGGATGTAGCTCAATTGCCAAGTCATCATTTAAATGACAAAACAGGTAATATTGATGTTAGAACTGAAGGGAATCACTAGAAATATCGTTAAGTCAGGGTGACTTTAATATGATATTAACGTGATTTGACTTTAAGGTAGGTAACTTATCGATATCTTTTGATTTTTTTAGAGCCAAAAACCAATCAACTGCTTTAAAATGCAAGAGTACCATGAAGATCAAATAACTAAGTGTTAATAAAAAAGACTACATTTCCAGTAACTCTAAAGTCTGGCTTTTTTTGGTTTCCCTAAGGGATTGCATCAGTGAACAGGTTTGAGTTTTATTGGCTAAGGGGAACAACTGTCTGTAAATACAGGCATTTTGACTTATAAAAGATACTTGTAATATAGAGGGAGGATGCCAGAAATTACAGACATTGTGGAACTATAAAAAAAAAAAAACTATTTAAAAAGTCATCCCATAGGATGTCCTATGACATTGATCTACTTGGAAACAGCTTTATATTTCCTCTGATTCTTCCATCCAGTAGTAGACTTAGGGGATGCAGGGAGGAAAAGAAAGTAAATAATGGAAAAAGGTAAGAAAAGTATGGCGGGGCAGGGTGGGGAGACTTCCCTGGTGGCGCAGTGGTTTATAATCTGCCTGCCAGTGCAGGGGACACAGGTTCGAGCCCTGGTCTGGGAATCCCACATGCCATGGAGCAACTGAGCCCGTGTGCCACAACTACTGAGCCCGTGTGCCACAACTACTGAGCCCGTGTGCCACAACTATTGAGCCCGTGTGCCACAACTATTGAGCCCGTGTGCCACAACTACTGAAGCCCGCATGCCTAGAGCCCGTGCTCCGCAACAAAGAGAAGCCACCTCAGTGAGAAGCCTGCACAACGCAACAAAGAGTAGCCCCCGCTCACCGCAACTAGAGAAAGCCCACGTGCAGCAACAAAGACCCAACGCAAACAAAAATAAATAAATAAATGAATAAGTAAATTAAAAAAGAAAAAAACCCACAAAAGTATGAGGGGGGGAGGTAGAGAGTGAATCATGTAAGAGGGCTTGAAAGTAGGAGAATATTTATAATTATAAATTGACCAGAAGAGAAAAGGGCCACAAAGAGTTCCAAAGGAAAATAAATAAGAAATGAGTGTTTGGTTTGTTTATTTTTTAAAAAAGGTACAACTCATATAAAATCTCTGAAGTAGGAAAAATCTTGAGAGTCCATGTAGTAGCCCCTTTCCCTTTCTTAAGGCAAAAATGCATTTACATTATAGCACAGACATGGCTGTTCCAGACAGGGTTTACTGGGGAGTGTGTTTAAATTTCTCACCTTCTCTAGAGAGGGTTCCCCTCCTTAGGAAGACAGAAATGCTTGTTGTAACTTTCAGGAACAGAATCAAATCTTTATAAGGTAAAAAAATGACATTTTTTTTTTTTAAAGTCCTGCATTTTGCACTCAGACCCAAACCCCTGCTACTTAAAGTGTGGTCTTTGATCCTAGCAATGTGGGAGTCAGCTAAGAGCTTGTTAAAATGCTGATTCTCAGGCTCCATCAGCAAGCTACCCTGTCTGAATCTGCACTTAGCAAGACGCTCGATTCCTATGATCAGTAGTTTCAGATGCACTAGTCTAAATAACTGTTATGAGAGATAAACTGAGTTTGTTTAGGTGGGTATCATTTATGACAACTTTGCCTCGTGGTTATGTTTATATAATTTGAATGGCTCTAATTCCAACTTTTATTAGGTATTACTAAGACTCTCTCTAATTGTACATATTTGTGAGTGGCATTAAAAATTATGTAAGAAACCTAATTCAAAGTAATGAAAAAGTAAACAGACTCACATTAAAATGCATTTGCATAGAAATTCTGCCTCTAGCTTTCGTCATCATTTTATGAAAGGGGAACACGTAGCAGAGTTTCTACATGGAAAACAGGAAACTCATACTGCGGTACTATGTCCAAGAATTTGAACTTTAGGATAATAAGGCCTTGCACAGTAAAAGCCCTGTGGCATTTCACGTTGTCTTGCTGAGAGCTGACTGCAGTTATTCTTTAAAGCAGAGGTCCCCAACCTTTTTGGCACCAGGGCCCAGTTTCGAAGAAGACAATTTTTCCACGGATGGCGAGGCGGGGGGGATGATTCGGGCGGTAATGGGGGGGATGGTTCAGGCAGTAATGGGGGGATGGTTGAGGCGATAATAGGGGGATGGTTCAGGAGGTAATGGGGGGATGGTTCAGGAGATAATGGGATAGTTCAAGAGGTAATGGGGGGATGGTTCAGGAGGTAATGGGGGGATGGTTCAGGAGGTAATGGGGGGATGATTCAGGCGGTAATGGCAGATGGGTCTGGCGGTAATGCGAGCCATTGGAAGCGGTGGGGAGCTGCAGATGAAGCTTTGCTCGCTTGCCCACTGCTCACCTCCTGCTGTGTGGCCTGTTCCTAACAGCGGTCTGTGGCCTGGGGGTTGGGAAGCCCTGGTTTAAAGGAATCATTACTCTCAGCATTTCTATCATGTTTTCTCAGAAAATGTTAAAGGCCATTTCATTTTCCTAAGAAAAAATTACCTAACATTTAATGAGTCAGAGACATATCATTTTATTTGGTTTCTGTCTGCAGTAGGCAAAGATCACAACCAAAGTTTTAACCCAGGATGTGTTGGGGAGTTAGAATAATTGATCCAGAGCAATGGTTCGGGGGAAGGTTAGAGATGGCAGGAATCCTACATTAGTACCGAGAAGGTTTCAAGGAGGAAGGTAAATGATGGAGGCAAGCTTAGAGAGTGGGGAGACCGAACTTCAAGGATTTCCCATTCCATTTGGCTCTCCCCAAACTTGCAGGGTGATGAACAAGCCCATCTGGGAACATTCGGTAGATGGACTGTCTAATTTCGAGAAATGTAGTTTGAGAAAGTTTCAATCTTGTCTCAAATAATTATTTCCATCTTGTGGAATGATTATTATCATTATAATAATTATTTCAAATTATTTGAAATAATTCCATCTTGTCTCAAATAATTATTTCGCCTTTCATTTTTCTCCTGCCCATTAGTTTACCTTTTTTATGCCAAGCACTGAGCTTGAGCTGGAAACTTGAGATAAAAAGACATCCTAAGAAATTTTCCCCCATTTTGAATCCTGGTGTCCCACAGGCTTCTGTCCTTGGTCACCTTTACTCTTATTTATATAGTTTTCCTGAGGGTATCACAAACCACCTTCTAACACTCAGCTTTCTATTCAAGATTTCACATCTCCTCTGAGGTCCAGATTCATATTTCTGATTGCCCTTGGATGTTACCAAAGAATTTTTTTGAAATCAGCTCAAAATCATCAGGATAAATCTACTTCCATTCTCATGAAGCAGATTTTCTTTCCGAATTCAGTTTTCATTTAATAGGACAATAGCACTTTCATCCATTCAAACATAAACACAGAGGTTTCTTGGATTTATCTCACCTCTCACTCATTCCCCAACCAGGGCCGGCTGCATGGGCACACGAGCTGGACAGTCAAATAGGATCCTGCGCTCAGAAGAACTCTGTGCTTGGTTTAATGCTCTGCTGTTGCTATCTCAAAATTCTTAATAATTTTTGAACAACAAGCTCCACATTTCATTGGGCCCTGTGAATTATATGACTGGCTGTGTCCCCAAATCCTGTAAATTCTGTCCCTAGTCCTGCCTCTCTATAATCTGTCCCTACATGTTGTTGTAGGAATTATTTTCCTAAGTCAAATCTAGGCACTTCTCACCTCCATTATTTTTGTTTTTAAAGACTAAAGTTCTGCTATCAATTTCCCAAAGAGTAAAGTTAAAACAAGTGTCTTTGGGCCTTGACTGCAATTAATTCACCAGTGTAAATTCCCAAGCATCTTTACCTCTACCTACGTACAGGCGGCATCCCGCCCTGGCTTTCATGTGTTTGTGTCAATATCACATGGACTTGAAGTCACTTCTTCCTTTCAATATTTGACAACTCTATCCATCCTTCAAGATTCAATTTTACTAATGAGGTATATGGCTCTTCATCACTCTCTCTGGGTAGGGC